AGCCAGTGAGCGGGAACCGGTCTGTATGTGGGATCCGAACCCCTGGGCGGGAGCGCCGCCATGCTTCCCAAGCGGTGCACTTATCCAGTGCGCCACTGGGCCGGCCCCATCACATTATTATTTCAATTTCAACATTTATGAGAAGAGTTTAGAAAGTTTGTGGAAAAGTGGAATTAAAAGATTTAAAAAACAACTTTATTTCTCAACATAAGCTCCATCAAGTTCAAGACATTTTTGTATGTGATAATACCAGCCATTTAGTCCATCCCTAAAGAACTGAGGGTCCTGGGAATTCAACCCAGTCAATGCAGTCTTTTTTACATTATTAATAAAAAAAACAAAAGTGTGTGCCCTTTAAAGGGTATTTAAGATTAGGAAACAAAAAAGTCAGAAGGAGCCAGATCAGAACTGCAAAGTGGGTGCCTGGTGATTGCCCATTGAAACTCTCAGTCTTGTCCTGACTTAATGAGAGGAATGAGCAGGACACTGTCATGGTGGAGGACTCTCTGGTGAAGCTGCCTCAGGTGTTTGTCTGTAAAGATACGGCTAACTTTCTCAAAACACTCATAATAAGCACATGTTGTCATTCTCTGTCTCCCCAAACTCCCAAAAGTCAACAAACTGCCTTAGCATCCCAAACTCTGTGGCCATGACCTTTGCTTCTGTCTGGTCCACTTTTGTTTTGACTGGTCCAGTTCCACCTCTTGGTAGCAAGTGCTTTGATTGTGCTTCATCTTCCAGATCTTACTGGGAAAGATATGTTTCATGTCCTATTGTGATTCTTTGAAGAAATGCTTCAGGATCTTCATCCCACTTGTTTAAACTTTTCATGGAAAGCTCTTCTCTTGTCTGCAGCTGATCTGGGCAGAACAGTTTTGGCTCAATTAGGCCACAAACTAGATTATGTTTTCCTTGCAAATTGATGTGGGTGTTCTGCTGAGAGCTTCACCTTCAACTTTGTCTTGTCCCTTCTTAAAATGACTTATCCATTTGTAAAGTGCTGACTTCCTTAGGGCACTGTTCCTGTAAACTTTTCACAAAGTATCAGTGATTTCACCATTCTTCCACCCAAGCTTCCCTGTAGATTTCATGTTTGTTCTAGCTTCAACATTCCTGTTGCTCTGATAGGGACTCTTTTCAAACTGACGTCTTATCCTTTTTAGTGCCTCAAGCTAGATCCTGTTCAGACATGCTATGACAAGTTAGTACAAGTTTATTTCAGTGTAAAAATATTTTGCAGTACATGTACAGTTTTTTCATAGTATGCATTTTCCATTAGGTTTCTGAAGATCCCCTTATCTATAGTTGTTATTTACATATTATAATAAACCTCCTAAAAGAATTGTGCAGATTACAATGTGTACCAGTTTTACTGTATCCTTACCAGTATTGGTTGTCACCACTTGAAAAAATAAAAGTTGGCTAATATAATAAATATTGATACCACAACATTTTCAACATTTTTATCTTTAAATTTTCAAGCCATTGGTTATAATAATAAATTTTCCTCACCTGTTTATTTGTTACTTATGTTTACTTTAATGCATTTTTGGGTGTAAGGTATAACTTACATATGTTTGTGTGCACATTTCCAAAGTGTGCAGCTCACTGCATTTTTTACACACACACACGCATTCCCCTGCACTGCACAACCATCACCACCATCGAGACCAACCCCAGCCTCCCAGCAGCCCCCTCAGAGCCTCCGAGTCAGAACCAACTCCAGCCCTCTGTGAGTGGTCACTGTTTTTTTGCCCTAGATGTACTTTGCCTGTTTTTGAACTTCCTATGCAGGGAACCACACAGTATGTTGTTCTCATACCTGACTTTTCTCACTCAACATTGTGTATCTGTAGTTTGCTATTGTCTGTTACTGTAAGTGTTCCATCTTATGATTATAACACAATTTATTTACTCATCTGTTGTTGATGGATATCTAGGGTGTTAGCTGTTCTTGGCCATCATGAATAAATCTGCTATGAACATTCTTGCCCAAGTCTTTTTTTTTTTTATATATTTCTTGGGTATTCTCTTACACCCAGTAGTAGAGTTCCTGGGTCATAGGATATAAGTGTGTGTAGCTTTAGAATGTATTGCCAGATATCTTTCTCAATAATTGTTTAGCAGTCATTTAATAATTAATAACCAATAGGTTTTTAACGTGTCACATTGAAGGAAAAAGTATTTAAAGATAACATTTCTTCAGGTGTGGAAAGGAAAAATAATACAATAAACCCCCACTTAAAAAATGCCACATTAGAGCCGAGCCTGTGGCGCACTCAGGAGAGTGTGGCGTTGGGAGCGCGCAGCCGCGGGTTCGGATCCTATATAGGGATGACCGGTGTGCTCACAGCGCTCACTGGCTGAGCGCGGTGTGGCAGGTCTCGAAAAGGACAAAAAAAAAAAAAAATGCCACATTAGTTTCTCTAGTGTTTATGTATGTAATTTGTAATTTAGCTGTCCACCAGGAATAATCCTGAGCCCACGGTGAAAACTGCATTGTATGAGTGCGAGGAGACACTAACTGAAGAGAGTTTTAAAGATGAAGATAATCATCATGATTTTTCATCTCTCCCCACAGATGGAAGAGGAAGCACTTGTACCTACTGGGCTCACACTCCGTGCAGGGCCATGTGCTGCCACATCTCGTTCCCCATCCATGCTAGGGGGCTGGTGCTGGTGTCTTCACCACACTAACTGGGACGTGGCAGTTCCTTGCCATGCAGCTCTTAAGCACAGCAGCGGCTCTGCATGAGGACTAAGGGGTCCCACATGCGCACACTGCATAAGGGGGGCGGTCAGGAGTGGAATGAGGGGCATCTGAAGCAAGCACAACATGTAAGGTGTTGCTGGCTACCATAGGAACATTTTAAAATAGCATTTAATGTTTGTTATGATTGCAAATGCAGTGCAAATTGATCATGAAAAAATGTTTGATACTAATAAACCACAAAAAAGTAAAGGAGCAACACGTGTAATCCCACCATCCCAAGCTAGCCAGTCGCCTTCCAGTCTTCTCTCGCTCTCACATGTATACTTTTTAAAACAAAAAATGGATGTAGCCTTTGCACAATTCTTTTTTACATTCTCTTCTCCTCAGACATATGTTATGGACATTTTTCCATGGCACCAAATAGTCTCCTACAATATGTCGAATCACTTTTTTGTATTATAGTCAGATACCGCAGCACATTTGAACAATTCCCTACTGCCAGACATTCAGGTGGCTTCTAATTTTCCATGACAATGATCAATGCCACAGTGAACGTTCTTGGATATAAATCTTTGTGCAGACCTGTGGTGATTTTCTTAGTATAAACTTATTTGTAAAAGAAAAGTTGTGTTTTCTCACTAACTTCGTTACTCATAAGAGACTGAATGTGAAAATCTTTTCAATTCCTTTAAAAATTATGCAGAAAAGCATGGAGACAGCACATTTAACTTCTTCCAGTGGCTAAAATATAATACTCTTGTACTTGATGTTACGTGATAACAGGCACAGACAGCTATGGGCTTGTGCTGCTGCGTGAGCCTTTGTCACTGTCGTGCCGTCATCACTTGTGACGTGTCAGCTGAGTTCTGCCCATGGCAGAAGGGGCCAGGCCCGTCCCCACAGACGTCACACAGCAGCACCTGCTGCCACCGCCTTCCCGTGCCCCACAGCCACATGGAAGGTCTGAGGGGCTCTTGGCTGATTTGGACAAGCCTGGTCTCAGGGCCTAGTGGGACAGGCCAGGAGAGCAGCTGTGGTCATTCCTGTTCAAAAAGGGGGGAAATGGAAGGAATCACAGAGCCACTGGTCCATGGCAGTTCCCAGTGCCAGCCAGGCCCAGTCTTGCTGCTGGGATGGTCTCAGCGCCTGGGTCCCCTGCCTCACCTCCGTTCTCTGTGGTGGCTTCCTTAAGGGAAGGCTGCACATTTGTTCAGCAGGGTTGGTCTGTCAGCCCGCAGCCTGCAGTGCAAGCTGGGGGTTCCGAGAGTCTCCATTTGTTTCATTTGTGGTCTGTCCCTGTTAGCTCAACTGACAGTGATTCTGCCTAAGCAGACTTCTCAAGAGTCTTTGAGGTCTTCAGATCTTTTAGGCATGATCCCTTCTCTACCTCAGCCTCCCGCTGAGACACACGGGAAGCTCACCTCACCCTTGACCCTCACCCTTCACCCTTGCCCTTGACCCTGTACCCTCTGGTTGGGCTGAGGGTCATTGAGGCACTTCCTTGACATCCTGAGAGGCCCTTCCTGTGACTGCATTCTCTGACCTTCTGTTTCTGAGGTTTTGGCAAATGTCCCATGGCCAGCCCTTGACCTTGCTCTGGGGCACACTTGCCAGCAGTCAGTCTCTCAATGGCAGCACCTTCGGCCATCTGGAGAGACTTGAGTTTTTCAGAGTTATCAAATCTTCATTTCTCTTTCTTAACAGCTCTTGCCTCAGTTTCTCTCTCTGTCCTCACATCTGCCTCTTCCACATGCTGCTGGGTCATCTCAGGCCTTGTGTGGACAGCCTCACCATGCCCTGGTCTTGCCTCCATGTCACTGCAGGGATGGCCTCAGTGAGCTCTCTGTCACCTCGTGGCCAGCACCCTCCTTCCTCCTGTTAGGACAAGGCAAGCTAGGCTTTCTCTACAGCCCCTCAAGAGTCTTCCAGCCTCCTCACACTGCCGGAACCCGAAGTTGCTCCTACATTTTAGGAATTTGTTACAGTAGCTCCTTGTATCTATAGTTTTATGTGCTGCGGAAGAAATTACCATGAACATGATGGCTTAAAATGCACACATCTTCTCCATTTCCATGGGTTGTGCATTGGCACAACATCTGCTGGGGTCTCAAGCTGCCATGCAGGTGTCAGCCAGGCTGCATTCCCACCTGCATTTGGGGTCTTCTTCCAAGCACAGCACTTGCTGGCAGAACTCGGTGCCCAGGGGCTGTGGGACCGGTCGCCTGTTGCCTTGCTGGCTGTCAGCTGGGACCTCTCAGCTCCTGAGGCTGCAAGAGGTGCTGGTTTAAGCTGCTAAGTCTGTGGCAGTGATAGAAAACTAGTGCTGTTACCAAGTGCTATGTAATCTTGTTTTGACTGTCCACAGGCTTGAGCTGATTGCTTCCTTCAAGTACCCTAAATCTCTTAATTTTGAGTCAGGGGCTTCCAGAGACCAACTCTTTCCACCCATCGTTGAAGGCAGCCCAGCGCTTCTGTTGAATAGTCTCCTAATCTGTCAACCTCTGTAGGAAGAAAGACAAAATTGTTTCACAACATGCCTGTCTAAATCCCAAGGATTGCATTTTGTTCTGCCACAGGCGGAAGTGAAAGTCCTCAGCCCTGTGTGGCAGGCTGTTTCCAACTGAAACGCCAAGAGTTCGCCCTCCTGCTGTCATCAGAAGGGAGCGGCACAGCTGCCGACTCGTGCTCAATTTGAGCTCTTTGCCCTTCAAAGCTATTCACGGTGTCACACCTAATCTACATTGTCACCTGCAATGGCAGTCACTCAAGGGACTAGCTACCGAGTTCTGCTGGCTCAGATCCATCCAAAAAAGCTGGGAGTTAAAGATCTGAGCTTGCTGTGCATAACTTAAAGCAGAAAAATGTTTTGGAGAGACTTAACATGTTTTGCAAACAGGCCCTTGTGCTCTGGCTTTTGGGGGATTTTTGTTTTGTTTTGTTTCTGTTTTTTTTTTGCTTCTTTGCTCTCCCCCCTCCCCCGCACTTAGCTTGCCTATAAATCACTAGGCTTCCACACTGAAATAAAGTAAATATGTATTAAATCAAGAAACACCTTAAGCTTGGATAAATGTATTGCTTACGTTTTCACCTCATTATACCAAGTCTTTTTGTAAAAAGCAGAATCGCCCTTTATCCTCTCCATCTTCCAACAGTGTTTCCTCATGCCGTGCTGTCAGCTGTCACTTCCTCGGCCAGTTGAAAGCTTCTCGCAGGTGTTTGTCACCCATTTCCCTGTGATGTGTATTTATGAGCTCGTGTTCATAAAGAAGCCTCATGATGTGTTGCTCTTGGCGCCCCCTCGTGTGTTTTCTTGTCTCCCTGCTGTTTTGCAGCCCTTCCCTCATTTTGTTTCAGTTAGCATGTGTGAGATTTTGGTTAGAGGTAGCATGTTTCAGTGAAGAGACAGAGGACCTCTGAGACACAGTGTTAGGTGCACACCTGGGGGTTATGGGGTGGACACGTGTGGAAGCAGGACTGGTAGGTGGAGAGGACAGGAGATTGCAGGGGCCAGTGCCCATGGGTTTTCAGGAGTGCCCACTTCTAGCAGAGAGTCGTCCTCTTCTAAAGCTGTCTGTTGTGCCTCCTTCACGGGTCACTGTAGTTCTCTTTAATGGGTCTAATTGGGAGGAAAGGAGAAAGGAACCTTAAAAGAGTGGCCTCTAGATAGAGTGTCTAGAAATGGAACCTGTGTGGAGAGGTTGACTTTCTTCGGGAGTCTTAGAGGTCCTAAACAACATTGATTAAAGTATATGCATTCATCGCACCATGCACTGTCGCTACCGATTAGTGGAGGTTTGCAATATGGTAGAATTTGTGTGCACACACACGTACACACACACACTGACATAAATATCTCAATGGCCTTGTTAATAAACATGAGAAATGGGATGAGCTCAAAAGTTGATTTTTTAAGTGCAAATGAGAAAGCGTCCCTCTATACCCTCCATTATTCTACGTAGGAAGGATGGTACGTAAAGGCCGTATTAAATCCTCCTCGCACAGCTCCAGCTGCTGCTGCTCTCAGGCAGGAGTCCTCGTGCAGAGCCATGTTCTCTTCACACCGTCTTAGAAAATGGTAGAAAACTTGTGCTAGATTAAATTAAACTAAAAATTCAAACTCTTTTTTCAGGTCAAACTATACACCCACCTATCCCAGCTTAAATCTCTACTCATGTGAGAAGCAAGTGACAGAAATAGATTGTCGCAGGTTATTGACAGGGATTTACAACTGACATTGATCTTTTTTTAGCCATTTCTTGTGATGATTGTAAAAAATATGTTCTCAGAGTTGGGGGATGGGGCGTTGCGTGTTCAATAAGCTCTTGGAGCTTTTTCTATGGATGATGGATATTTTTAAAAAACAAAAATAAAAATAAAAATCTTTGTCTCATCTTTCTGATAATTTTACAAGAAAAATGCATCACTATGGGTAGGAGCTGTCTCAACAATACTGTACAAAAAAGATGTGCTTCCCACAGACCTTAAACCTGTGTGTAGATCTTATTTTCTATATTTAGATTCTAGTTCTCACACAGGGTTTCTTCAGGGTAACTGTGAAAAAAACATGTTTTAGGTGAACTTTAGTAATTACACTTTTGGGGCTGGCCGGTTAGCTTAGTCATTTAGGGCACAGGGTTATAACACCAAGGTCAAGTGTTCAGATCCCCACACCAGCCAGCTGCCAAAAACAAACAAACAAACTAGTTACACTTTTTAAATAAAAACTTTCCTGCTTTAATTTCTTTTTTTTTCTGAATTAGAGTATCTTGTGTGTGTGTCTCCTTATACTATTGTGTTGTGTGTGTGTGTGTGGTGTGCCTGCCTCTACTCAAACTGTGTGTGTGATATGTGTAGTGTGTGCCTGCCTCTGATCACACTGCCATCATGTGTATGTGTGTTGCGCGTGTGCATGTGTGTGGTGTGTGTGGTGTGCATCGTGTGTATCTGTATGTGTGGTGAGTGCATGTGTGGTGTGTATGTGGTACATGTGCAGTGTGCTCGTGTGTGTGTGGTGTGTGTATGTGGTGTTTTGTGTTTGTTGTGTGTGGTGTATGTGTGTGTGTGGTGTGCATGCTGTGTGTTGGGTGTGTATATATGTGCAGTGCATGTGTGGTGCATATGCATGCATGGCATGTGTGTGGTGTGTGAACATGGTGTGTGTCATGCATGTGTGTGGTGTGTGTATCTGTGTGTGGTGAGTGCATGTACATGTGTGGTGTGTATGTGGTGCATGTGCAGTGTGCTCGTGTGTATGTG